CAGAGGGCGAGAATCCCCTCCCTTGACACTGGCCACACTTCTCTTGATGCAGCCCAGGGTAGGGTTGGCCTTCTGGGCTGCCAGTGCCCATGGCCAGCTCATGTCCAGCTTTTCATCCATCAGTACCCCCAAGTCCCTCTTGGCAGGGTTGCTCTCAACCCTTTCTTCCCCCAGCCTGTATTGATACTGGGGGTTGCCCCAGCCTGGGTGCAGGACCTTGCACTTGGCCTTGTTGAACCTCATGAGGTTCACACAGGCCCACCTCTCCAGCTTGTCCAATTGAAAAAGTGAAATTGTAAAAAATAAGCTGAGCTTAGTAAATAAAAATCTTGCACTTCAAGCAGTACTTTCTGCTCATTCATAAATAACTCTCCATATTTTTGCTTTCTAAAATGATGTTAAAAGACAAAATCAAGAGCAGTTAGTACCTAAAAAATGGTCTTAGAAATAAGAAAGTGCTTGAGAGATTTGAAATGTACAAGCAAGCATTTATAGTAGCTGCCATAGGGCTGTTTCTTTGTGACCTATATGAAGGGAAGAAATAATCATGAAGAAGAAATTAGAATAATCCACCAGAACTTGTCTTTTCAGGCATTGAAGCAGTGAAAAGCCAAAATCAGGACTCAGTAGTCTTGGTGACTATTAAGCAGGAATTCTTTATTGTGGCACCAGACGCACAGGGGATCGCTCCTCCTAATGTGCACACCGCACAGGGTTAATTGCATTATTTATATGCAAGTTTTACATACATATTTGTTACATTCCTCAGAAAAGGCAGGGGTAGGTAAATTAATTCCTGGGAATCATTTACATATTATCCTCCCAGTTGCACATGCTCAGTGATTTGGGTTGGTGGTCTTCAGGGGTCATTTAATTCATCCTCTCCTCTTCTTCATCTTGTCCTTTTGGTGAACTTCGGCTTTTCCCCCCTTATTCTGCTGCCAGAACAACACAGCCAGTACCTGCCAGCTTCTCATTCTCAAAACATTCCCCTTTACCTCCGTATCTCATGGTTCCCATCCCTGGCTATCCTCATACCGACAAAATGCTAGACAGTTTGTCCCCTACATGCCTTCCAAGGCCAGCAACAAAGATAGTCAGGCAATTTGCTACAAATATCTTCTTTTTTTTCTCTAATGATGCACATTCCCTATCCCATACACTGTTAGTTTCTTATCTATAGTTTTTCACCTCATATGGTTAGTAAGTTTAACCTAAACCACAATGTTAGTACTTTAAGCCAGATCCTCCTCAAGGATGTTCTGTTTTCTCAGGGCTATTATCACATTCCAGCTACAGTTGGCTTCACAAAGGTCTCTTGTTAACCCTTTAGCATCCCTTCAGCATGGTCCACTTAATCAACTGGATTCCATAAGTACAGTAAATTGTTCTGTCTAACCATTTTTACTGTAGTGACAGAACAAAGCAATCATTTTTAATACAATACAGAATATTTGGTGCAAATGGAGAGTACTGTGCTATCCCATTAAAATTCTTTATCAATAAGCTAAAAGCTAACAATGCCTAAACCAGCTGATACTGTAGCAGATGTTTGTTAATTTTTACCCCTGTGTGGAAGACCTGGAGTACCTATGAAAGCACTGGAATTGGCATGGAAAGGACAGAGAGGACAGCCTTGCATCTGTTGGGAAGCACCAATATGATGAGCCCTACCCAGGATAGTACAGGTGTGAGGGGGATGTGCAAAAGTTTTTCAGTTTTTCTGCGCTCTTGCACTGCTTTCCTTAGGGGGAACGTCTACATTAGTAAGTCATGCAGTGCAGTAGGTGTGGGTTGGCAGAGCAAAAAAACAATTTGAGGACCCAACATCCACACCCTATACCTTTGGGGAGGGGGGGGTTTACATCAGTCAAGCTTTTGTCTGCTCCCATGGCCTGGGTGCTTGAAGGGTGTCTGGCTTCAACTGAAATTAACCAGCCCTGTGCAAATGGAGACTGCTCTGCAGCGCAACTCAAAGTGGAAGGGACCAGCACTTCAA